GATTTCCGCATGTACTTCTTTCGCAACGTGATAATCATTCGAATAAATTCATTTTTTGATATTGCATGAATTTCTTTAAGGTTATTTATGTCTTCAAAAGCGCTTTGAATCCCGGCAACCTCGAAATTGGTGATCATTTGATCAAGCATGGAGATGGTGTCAAAGACATTGCCTTCGCAGTGGAGGACTTGGATGCTATTGTTGAGGTGAAAAAATTATTTTCATTGCATTTGTTTTTTTGGCCACTTTTATCATAAGGAAGGAATTTATTCATTGGAATGATTCAAAAATCTTTCAAATATTGGAAGTATTCTTTGATGGCAAGAGAACCGAAAGTTTCGTGGATTGACTGAGTCATCCTTCCGAGCTTTTTATGATTAAAAAAAATAATCTTGAAGAAAAAATTCAGAATTTTCTGAAGAATCGAGATTATTATTGACAACAATGCTGCAGTTGCAAACATTTCATGCGAACATATTTGTTTGTCCTAAATTTGATACACAGTAGTGTCAAAAATATGCCATCATGTCAAATAAGGACTTACTTCAAAGATTTTCCACAATATTATTGCTATTTAGTTTAAATTTTCATGAATTCCATGTACTGTACTGCAGGAATGCTATAATTTTACAAAAGCAATTTAAAAATTAGCTCTTTTCCGTATAAGCATTATTCTTGAAATTTTAAAAATTGCAGTACTGTATTTAAAAAATTCCTGGAAGAATTTTTGTCGCTAGGACGTTTGCTTCCGTTTGTTGAATATTTTTTTTATTTGTTTGATCCTCATGTTTCATCAGCTGTCTGGTCCTGGTCTTAATTAAATTGTTGTTGCTTAATTCAATCATCATTGATGGTTAAAATATTATTCCGATGTGTAATAATATCACTCAAACGAATTGGAGGATCAAAAGTGGCTCTTCTATCGCGGACAGTTGTTTTTCTTTGATGAATTTTAAATTTCCTCATGCATATATGCAACGTCTGATCGCCAAGTTCAAGTGCGATTCCTTTACGGCAAAACGGAACCCCAAAAGTTATGCTTATATATAATGAATCAGCATATTCACTGTACTGTATTCTTTAACTTTATCAGTTCCACGTGATATTCATCCACTATATATACTGTACATTTCCATCCACTATGTATATACAGAGAGCACGACAAAGAGGAGGCAAAATTGTGAAAGAAATTTGGTCCGAATCCGATGACTCAGGAACTGTGCGATTCGCCACGGTTCAAACGGTGAGAGCGAAAATTTTTTCGGCATCAAACTAAACTCAAAATGGTACCAGTTTCTAAGAATTGCTATGAGAAAATACATTTATAGTGGTACAGTATATACATTTTATTTATTTTTCTTTCTGTCATCAGGAAGACGTTAAGATAGGCGGAAAAAGTTGAATATACAGAATGAAGTATCTCTGACCAAAAAGGTTCGGTGTAGCAAGAATTTTGTTGTAAAGAACCCCCAGAATATCGGAAGAAACCTCCAGAGTCAAAGATATTTTGTTATGCATTGTATATAGTAAAGTACAGAGAAAATCGTTGTAGACCAGATTTTTGTTCAGACCATAATCCACCTGTAAAACCTACATGAAATTCTTTGCTCCAGAAAGAAGTTTAAAAGTGAGGTATGAACTGGCAAAAGAAACAGAGATCAAATTGATCATGGTCATATGAAGTGCAGGATTTGTGAATATTTTATTGTTCAGCATCTGATTGGAATTAATTTGCCTCAAAATGCCATCGGATCATGGTGTCATGTGCAAAAATTAAATGCGATCAAGTGGTATTGTAAATAAGGTACCATGCAATGAGTGCATATAAAGTACAGTAGTAGAATTTAAGCGAAGAAAAGTTGGTCATTTTGCTTGTCATAAAAATAAACTATACAGAATAACACGAATTTCCGAAATTTGGTAGCAAATTAATTATCCAGCACGACTATAAAGCGTAAACAATACGTCGTGTCTGAGATCTCAATTTTTTCTTCGCATTTTAAATTTTATCATATCTGATGCACAGTAATTGATGGGTTGAATTTTTTACTGAATGATATGAGTATATCTTCACAGAGTCCTAAAATACAGTACAGTACTTTACATAGATTCTTGTATCAAAGAAAATATTCTCCAGTATTTACGGCTTAATAGTTTTCTTGCGTATCTACAATATAAAACGACAATCATTCAGATTCTGTAAATACGAGGGGTTTTTAAAGGTTTTCTTTAGATTGTATATGTGTTGAAAATAACGTGAGAAATTTATGAAATGCTGCAGTATGGAGACACGACGCACACCTTTGTGGAGCGTGGGACATATTCAGGACTTTTCCTTCCTGGTTACAAACCCGTTTTGGAAGAGGACCCAGTGCTGGCAAATTTGTGAGTTATTTTTTGTCATGTATTAAATAAAAATGTACAGCATATGATCAACTAACCTCCCTTTGTGGAAATAACGTATATTTTGTGAAGACCTTCAAGAACAATTAATATCATGGTACAGTATAAGGCATCTCTAACTCAAAGACTTGCCCATCTAAGCCTCCATTATACTCAAATTTCTGGAGGTCCATGAAGCATTTTAGTAGCTCAGGAATTCCTGGGATTTCTTTGTCTTTAGCCCTTGTGTGAGGCTAAGTTGGGATATTTTCTCGACATTTTGTGCACAGGAGCAATGACAATTTAAAAAAAATTGATTTTTGCACCAAGGTCTAATTTGGGAAAAAGTGAAACATTTTTTTTAATCCTGCAGAAAAATTTGGCTATAAATCCTCAAAGGGTGGCTATTTTTTTCAGGAATTTTTTTTTGCGTAGGATTAGCAATAGAGATTTTGGATTACAAATGGATTCACCTTTCCTGGATTTTTCCTATAACTTATGCCTTCCCAACCTGGGCGCATTTCAATGACCTTCTGTCAAACTGAAATGCACAGCATCCCTGAAAAAATTCTGACTTTGCTGCAGGATGATGGCCAGGAACCCTCTGCTGTTCAAGGGTTAAAAATAAAAGCAATAAGAATGTCACAATGTATTTTGAATGGAATTGTACAGTATAAGGCTAATCGGTCAAAGGAACCCTTGCCTCCATGTTCAGCATTAAGTCTGTCAATAACTCATTTATTCAGCAGAGGCTTATTATGGCCCAGAATATATCACCGATTTTAATTTTTTGTGATGCTACTTTTTTTTTTAGCTCTATAGCAATCATCTTCTTCATACTTCCCTGACTATGAGTCAAACTTAATTTTTAATTTTTTTTTATTGAAGTTTGATTAAAATTGGTGGCAGTCTCTTCCTCACACTGACTAAATACATGTGACTGGAGATCTTTGTCCACCATGAATGTGTCCCCTATATAGAATGGCAACAAAAACTGCAACCTTTTATTTTCTTCTGCAAATTTATTTTAGGCCTCGACCTGGACTGGACTTCATCGATCATATTGTGGGAAACCAGCCCGATTTGGGAATGGAAGATGTGGCCAAGTGGTGAGATAATTTATTCCACTACCTGTCATCTATAATTTTTATTAATATTGTTTTATACACACCTGAGTTTATTTGAAAGGATCATAAATACCATAAAATAACATACAGTATATACAAGCATTTTTGGTCACGCAAAATTCAGTCGCAGCAGAATTTAATGAACACTTGCAAATTATAAATGCTTTCAAAAATTAAACGCCTTTTTTTATTAATGTGCCTGCTGTGACTGGCCAAATATTATTTTGTAGAAATCTAAAAAAAGTACCGTATTTTTATTTTGTCCCCAAAAACAACTATTTTATTCTCACACATATTTTGAAACACGCTTCTCGTAGTTGTTGGAGTAAACGACCCGACAAAATAGAGTAGAAGATTTTCACAGTATGGAAATAAAAATACGAAGCTACCATCAGCTGAAGCGCACGTATATACTTCTTGCTCAATTGATTGACTACTCCACACTGATAACTTTTACTGAATTATAAAAAAAGTTATGAATTTTTTTGTCAGGTACGAAAAGACCCTGATGTTCCACAGGTTCTGGTCAGTGGACGATTCCCAGATTCACACAGAGTATTCATCACTGCGCTCCATCGTTGTGGCTAATTACGAAGAGACAATCAAGGTATTTGCTTTCGTGATGGCCTAATTATTTTCCAAATACTTTGCTGCTGACACGATGCAGGATTGATTTATTTGAATGCTGCTTTTTCGTCAGATGCCCATCAACGAACCCGCGAATGGCAAGAGAAAGAGTCAAATCCAGGAATATGTGGATTATTACGGAGGTGCTGGTGTGCAGCACATTGCTCACAACACCAGTGACATCATAACTGCGGTAAAATTGAGTTATATCTCTTGATTATTTTTTCTTTGTGTGGTATTTTGTTTAAGTCGGAGGAAATTTTCCAGATTGCGAATTTGACTGCGAGAGGAACGCAGTTCCTGAAAATACCGGACACTTACTACGAGCAGCTCAGGGAAAGTCTGAAGACTGCCAAAATCACGATCAAGGAAGACATCACAGAGCTTCAGGTATCAATTCCGACAGTCTTTTTTCTTAATAATATTGTAAAGTCAAATCTCTTTAAGTCGATGTTTAATAAGGGACCAGCAAAAAAA